GAGAGAGGGAGAGAGGGAGAGAGGGAGAGAGAGGGGGAGAGAGGTGGTGGCGGAGGAGACAGGCAGAAACCAGTCACAGCTAAGAAGCTTTCACTTATCCTGAGGGCAGTAGGGTACCTTTAGGCAACTCTGGGTTGGCTGGAGAGTGAGTAAGCCCCTGTAAATGATGACCACTGACACAGGGTAGGAGCGAGCTGCTGAGATCAGAGAATGAATGAGGGCCTGAGCAAGAACGGCCATGGGGATGGGAGTGAAGGGACAGATTCAAGATACCACAAAGACCAGAGAGAACTCCGTCCCGGTCTGTTAGTGAGGGGAGAGAGGGTCGCAGGCAGGCAGCGAAGCGCTGGCATCCCTGTCACTCACTCTTATACATGTTGAGCCCCAGGTGGCTTCAGGACATCTAAGTGGATGCCCAGTGGGATTCTGAGGCTCAGAAGGCCTATGCCAGAAGTAAAGATTTAGGAGACATCCGCATAGGCAGCTGAAGTCTCAGAGTAGACGAGTTCACACAGAAAAGAAAAAGCAAGCTCCAAACACACCTGCAGAAACTTCTTGGCTTATGAGTTTTGCCGGACAGAATTTAAGGTCCAAACTTGTCTTCTTTACCACTCTATTCCAATGGCTAGCAAAGTGCCTGACATTTAATTATTTACTTTAAAGAATTCAATAATTATTTGTGTGAACAAGTTTATTTCCTTAGGTTTGTTAGGTTGGCAGAATTACCTCACAGACTGTAACCATGGTTAATGTGGACTTAGTTCATCTAGCATTAAGTGATCATTTAAAGGGAAAACTCATTTGTGCTAAGAACACCAAGGGCTGCTGCAGTCCGAAGTCCTGCTTGTCATTCTGGCCCTTGTTTCTACATCCACAGGGAAGCCAGGCAGCGTTAGCGCCAGAATTTCTCAATGGAAGAATAGGCGAGCACAAACCTATCTGACTTGAGAAAGAGCCAGCTGAAGTGCATTTGCAGAGCACTCGGAAAGAAAAGTGAAGTCACTTGGTTCATCGCATGGAAGCAGGGAGAGCCACTCATGGTCCCTACCTGCCACCCCGACACAGCTCTGCTGCAGCCGCGCCCCAGAGCTATCATCCCTGCCTGAGGAGGCCTCGGGCTCACAGCTTTGGAAAGTTCAGAAAACACATTTCTAGTTCCTTCTCTGGCATTCCATTCTGCTGCAATATCCTGACACACATCTGCTACCATATCACTTCACTGCACTTATCAGCATCCAAACTTATTTTATACACTCCTTAACTTGATTCCTCCTTCTTCACTTGACCAGAGAGTCTAGAAGGAACTGGACGAGAAGCCTGACTCTGCTCACCAATAATAAAGCTTTACTTATTTCAAACTTGAATGGTATTTTATTACGAGTTTTCATAATAAGAACTATCGTTTACTCATTCTTTACTTATAGTATCATAAAATTGCAGCCTGTGTATAAAGTTATTTTAATAAGATATTCTTTTTACATGCCAAAGTCAAGATGGAAATTATGGGGTACCTCAATGTCACCCGAAACTTCTCACTTTCCTCCTGTCCCATTCGGCCACTTCACTTCTCTACTGAACACGGATCCCAAATCACACACCTGCCCCATCTGATACCTAAGAAACCAGTAACATCCATGACCCAACCAATGACTGAGGAACACTGCTCGCAGTACTATTTTATCAATACAAATAAGGGAATATTTTGCAAGTAGGGTAGTTTTTGCCTATGAGCCCCAATATAAATACAAACAAATAAAAAATACACAGAAATCCAAGGACCAGAAAGTACACAGAAATTAGCACTGCAGACTCCTCAGACACTAGTTGAGCACCTGCCTCCGTCATTTACTCTACTGTTTTGTGGATGAGAAAGGCTGCACCCATGTGATCCGTGACCACACTTCTGCCATGCTCACTCTCTCTCAGCAGAGGGGCTTGATGACTACCAATGGGTTTTCCAGGCCAGAATGTCTTCAGCAGTTAAACTGCCACTTACTCCTCTAGACCTTAAATAGCTATTGCGAACACAAACATAACCATGGCTTATAAACGGATTGTTTCTACTTCTAGAATCTTTTGTTTTCCCCTTAAAAAAGGGACAATTAAATTGGGGTTTCATTATGTCCCAAAGAAAATTTTCTTTCAGAAGAACCGAAAGAAAACCTGTATTACATAGGTAGAAACTGGAGAATTTGTGCTTTCTCCTCATCTTCCAGAGTTGGCAGTTTTTGTTGGAAAATCCAAATATGAAAACCATGCACTAATGCCACAAGAAGCTAAACAAAACAGACTGTGGACCATGCCCAGGTAGCATGCGTGGTGTAATGGGAAACAGGAAAAGTAGAAGATAAAGTCCCCACTCTATAGCAGCCACACACATGCTATTGGTTCTTCCTCCAAAGCACACCCATGATCCAGTCACCCTTCCCTGCCTCCATCTCACACCTCATTGCCCAGGTGGAAAGCTGTACAACCTTTCAGCTCACCTGCAGTCACAGCCTTCTAACTGATGTGCTGCTCTTCCTTGAACCTGCCAAGGGCATGCCCCTCTCAAGGCCATGTACTTGCCTCTCCCTCTGCCTAGAATGCTCTTCCCATGTAACCATAGAGCTCAATACCCTCAGGTTTTTGTTTAAGCATCACTGTATCAAAGAGGCTGACCCTGATACTCTGTATAAAACAACCCCAACCCTCCTGTCTACAATCCTTCTCTGTTCCTCTTCATAGCATTTATCACCGTCTAACGGGGCGTATATTTATTACTGGTCTCCCCCTACTAGGAAGTAACTTCTTGAGAGCAGGGATTTTTGACTACCTGGTTCATGGCTGTATCCTCTGTGCCTGGCACACAGTAGGTATTCAATAAACATCTGTTTAATGATATTTAATTGATAATTGTTCAAGTTGAATAATCAGACAGGACAACAGTAAATCATATTTCAAGACAGTTCATAGTTAACTGCTGAGTAGCATGGGCCAGTAATACTCCCCACAGTATACAGCAACATCACTTGAGAGGTCTTCCAAATACACACGCCCAGACCTCACCACAACACCCACCAAACCTCCCCAGGTAGAGTTCTGTGAAAGTGTATGTTTAAACAGCTTCCTAGGTGATTCTTTTTTTTTTTAAACTGTGGTAAAATATATATAACATAAAATCTGCTATTTTAACAATTAACAGGTGATTCTATTTTGCAACCCTGTTTACAACTATTGGTATAATATTATGTTAGTTAAGCAGAGGGAGAAGAGCTGAAAGAGGGATTTTAAAAAGCCCCAGGTCATCTCAGAGCGCGGACTGTGGCGCTGAATACAGGTGCACTGTTCACTGGCTGTGAGACTGGGCAAGCCACTTAGCTCTTAGGCTTCCACTCCCGCAAATGAAGGCAACCTCTTTACTCTCTCTCTCCACAGCCACTCCAAACTGCTTCAAGGTTGCTGTGAAGCTAAAATGAAATCAAGTATATAAAGTATCTACTTTGGTGCACATAACTGGCATTAAACTGGAACTTACTGGAATTACTTCCATTGATACAGGAAAATAAATTCCTATTGGCAAAAGCACAAAAGTATGTGAAATTCTGGCCTAAGTGGCTGTAAAAATGTCCCTTCCTCTACTGATAGGGTAGGCATGAAAGAAACCTGTCAGGTGTTCCACAGACAGGATCATACTAGAACAGTGACTCTCGACCTTGAGCGTGCTTTAGAATCACCTGGAGGGCTTGTTTATCACGAGTGGCTGGGCTCACTTTCAGAGTGTCTGATTCAATGATTCTGGGGGTGAGGCCTGATCATTTGCGTTTCTAACAAGTTCCCAGGTGATGCTCAAGCAGTTGGCTATTAGTCAAAGGGTACACAGCTTCAGGTACACAAGACAAATAAGTTCAAGACAAGTAAGATTTACCATACAGGGTAGTACCTACAGTTAACAACACTGTGTTGTATATGTAAAACTTGCTAAGACCGAGATTCTATGTTGAGTGTTATCACAATAATAATAATAAATAAGAGGGAGGGACAAAACTTTTGAAGGTGATGGTTAGGTTTATGGCATTGATGTGGTGATGGTTTCACGGATGTATACTTATCTCCAAACTTACCAAACTGCATACATTAAATATGTACAACTTTTATATGTTGACCATACCTCAATAAAGTGGTAAGAAAAACCACAATGACTTAAAGCATGCATAGCCTAAAAATTTAACTGAGCATATTAGTTCCTTCAGTAAAATTTTTAAAAATCAAAAACTTAAAATAGTTCACTTAAAAAAACCTATAACCAATAACTGCAAATGATTCTTAGAACATTTTAAAAATCAGATAGAAGTCAACTATTATGTTTTAAGTAAAAAAGAAAAAATTCATGTCACTGGTATCCCAGTGACAAGTAAATTCAATTCTGAAAAGAAATTCAAAGTTAACTCTTAGACTACTCATTGCTTTAAAAGTTAAAATTGAAATAATTACAAAGTGTGGCAGCTTTCTAAGAAAAAGTCTTACCCAACAACTTCTGATAGGTAGATGACAAAAAAGAATACTTACAGGTATGGAGGCATTCCGTCACTGTAGTTGGCTTGATCAGATACCCTTTGCAGATGTAGCAGGTGATGTAAGGATTGAAATCTTTCACCAAGTGCTTCCTTTGGGTAGCCATTCGTGGTTAGCTAGGACTGGTTCTAGTAGTTCAGACAAAGAAGGCTATTAAGTGGATGAAAGTCTGATTGCAGAAGCTGGTGTGGAGTTCCCAACTGGATGTCCTGGGGCATGAGAACTAACATCCAGATTTGGCAGGAGATCGCCGGTCATCACTCCTTTCGGTGGTTCTGCTTTCCCATATCTTCTTCCACAAGAATTTTTAAAAGATGAGGAAAAGGTGTCAAATTCCTCATACAGTAATATCATCATTATATTAGCAGCAAGTGTTACATGGTCCAAATTGGGTGAACAGGTGAATAGAACATTTCCCTCACTGTAACATTAATTTATAAACCTGCTATGATTAATTCAGAATAATGACAAAAGCATCCAATCCTGGAGCTTCAACTACCACCTCTATACAAATGACACCCAAAGCTATTAACTCCAGTTTTGATAGCTTTACCTCTTCAGTAATGCATTTTAACTATCTACTTGACTGCTCTATTAGGGGTTCTTGCCAACACAAGCTAAAAGATTCAAAATTGAAGTCATTATCCTATGAAAACTCTCCCTATTTCCATTTTGTACTCCACCTCTAGTCGGTAACTAAATCAAACTCATGTCCTTTTCCATTCCATCCACAGCTATCCTACTCGGTATTACTTCACCCCCTGCAGCCCCACTTATATTCTACCATGTTTATTTTTTTCTATCATGTTTGGGTCCTCTTCTCAAAGAATGTCAGTGTTTCCGCTTTACTCTGTAACAGAAAAACTTTTAAATTTCTCGGGCTGACCTTAACATACCCTTCAACACTCAGGCAAACTGAAATGATCATTCTTTCCCATAATCCAGTCTGCAGGTTCTATGCCCTTCCTCTCCTGTCTAGAGCCCTAGCCTTCAAAACCCTCTTCCGAGGCTCCCCTCAGTGTAATCTCTCCCTGGATTTTTACCCTTTACTTCTTGAATCCTGTTACATTTTCCTTCCATCTTGATTTATAGTTATATTCGTTCTTTACCTCCTCTATTACAAAGTCTTTAATAGAAACCAGTCACACTTAGTAAATGTATAACCTGAGCAATGTTACTTACCTTTCTCTAAGTCTCAGGTTTTTTCAAACTAAAATGAAAATAATGTCAGCCCCCTACAGTGGTGACGATTCAATGAGACGTATACATAAAGCCAAGCACATTGTAAAAGCTCAATGTCATTAACTATTTCCCCAGAAAAGTTTAGCATGACTTGTCCATATAGTTCTTTCAAAAAAAAAGTTTTAAAGGGTTTTTTTCCTTTTACAACAAACATGTCCTCTTAGAAAATACAACATGAAAAAAGGTGTTGATTTCCTAAAGTATTTCTATAAACAAAAACTTTTCTCCTATCTCCGCTGTTACCTCATAAGTAGGTATAAAGCAACCAGAGAGGTAAAAGCAACATTCCATCTTCTATAGACAATTCGCCACTGACAGTGTGCACGGAATAGGTTCTACCATTAATCATCCCATCCGCTCAGGAAATCGCGTCGAGGATGTAACAGAAAGCGGGCATAGTTATCAGACAGGGGGTCTGGTTTCTGGTTGTCAGCTCTGCGTGACCTTCAGCAAGGCACTTAATATCCGTGCCTGGGTCCTCGCTTCCTCCTCTCTATATTGGGATTAACGGCCCTGCCTTTCCCACAGGTTTGCCACGAAGCTCCAAGTCAGA